CTGACAACCTTGAGTGAAAATCAAGCCAGAGATGTCTTGTATAAAGCAAATATCGARGAAAAGAGGTTTTGTAAGAATGCTGGGATTCTTGATCCTGCACTTCATCCAAACAAAGAACAGGTTCCATGTTCCCCGACTTACTTCCAAAAAGCTTTTGGATGCTATAACGAAACAGTGAGGCTGTTCAGATCTAACAAAGGTGACGCAAGGCTTTGCAGGTAATATAACATCGATTTCGTAWATATGCAATTTAAAATCTGTTAATGAAAAAAATACAAATTTAGATCGTAATGAAGAACACTGACGAAGAGACACGCGTCTCGAAACGTCTCTTTTTTAGACATATTTTTAAGCACTTATACCATAGRAATTATATTTTTCATTTATATACCCCACTCTACATAAAGTGCTACACAGTTTATCCTTAACTGGAAGTTAATAATAGAGCAATATGAACAAAATCCCTGCTGCTGAGTGTAGACACTCAACAGAAGGACGCGAGAAAATCAGTTTATTTGACTCAATGCATAATTCATTTTCAGTGCTTRTGCAGAAGCCATAAAGTGTGAGAAGTCCCTCATAAATACAGAATGCTGGTACACTGGTGTCAAAAAAGAACTGATAGAGTTGGCTTTCGATGGTTACAACCCGTTCTGTGAGCCCTCTACTCCTACAGAGAAGAATGCAGCACCACATCTGCGTCAAGGAGTAGCTTTCCTGATTTGGGCTGCACTGATAGCTTCAGTGCTCTGGTAAATTCCTTTAAAAGGAATTAAAACCATCACTATGATCTATGATAAAGAAGAAAACATGTTGATTAAAAAATATTTCTTGAGCAGTGTTGATTCGGATTTAAGGGTCAGTGAGGAGGTAGCTAGCCATCCTTCTCTTCCAATGYAAATTATACAGTTCTTATCAACAGAGGCTTTGCACCATCTCGTGATGGCAGTCATATCGACAGAACTGAGGCAGGAGCTATTGAATCTAGTCTAATCTGATTTACATGAGAAACAATTCTGATTCCCAGGGTAAAAAGACTATTTTTGTACCTCCTTTCATCCATTGACGTGATGGCGCAAAACCTTTATGATACTAAAAAGGTTTTTTATTAAAACCAAATTTTGTTTTGATTTAGCCCCCTCGCATTGATATTTCTCATATAGAGTAAAAGTAATAAGGAATATGAATAGCACAGCGCAACCGTGACGTCATAAAAACAAAGACAAAGGCGAAATTCGGACAAACTTACAAGTTTACTTTCAGCAGATAATTTTCACAGCCGATCGCAGTTGATCTTAGTTTACATGGGTTATTATTGTAACTTTAAGTAAAAATAATAAAATCGGTTCGTATAATCGTCGTAGCGGTTAAACAGAATGCAATGTTTGTTTTTTTTTAAAGTTTTTTAAAAGCTATTTTTAGAATCAGTGCGCTGCGCTATTATGGGTATGTTTCCTATATGTCTCTTCTTCCATTGAACAGGAAGACAGGAACCAAGTTTGATTTTAAGACAACATGATGAAACTTAAATAGAATAGTACTTGATTAAGTGCCGTTACTTTGAATAACGCTTTTATGAGTTTTAATATCATATTCATCAGCTTCGTATATAAATCAGTTGTCAAATATTTACATGTAATAGCTAATTATAGTGATATCAAACTATCTTACTGATTTTTTTTTTCTTTAAGCTTTTTGAACTAAAAATCAAACRAAATCAACTGATTCAGTCTATCATACTGTCCTTCCATTTTTCAGAAAGTTGTTGCTAAGAAACGTAATGAGCAAWTGATTTCTATAGGGTCACTGGATGTGATTCAAAGGATGAATGAAAAGTGAAAAAGCGACTGAAAGTCATCTATAGTCTTTTTGCACCTACTCTTCGTCATGCGCTTTTTTGGCCATGTGATTGATTGATTGATTGTTCACTGTATTCAGGGGACCCAAAAGTTATGACTGGATTTATTTTCGAATCTTTGGAAGTCGGTGAGCAAATAACCTAATTTCCTCGTCCACCTTCTTAGTTTTAAGTCACCTGTCGAGGTATTGCGTTCCAATGCACCCTCCTTAAAATTGTCTTTTATACGAGGCTAACATGGAAATACATAAGAAATGCCACAAATTCCATCAAGAAAAAGTGTGATCTCTTTTGTATTTTCATGTTAGCCCCGTATCATTCACGATACGTTTAAGAAAAGTGAATCATGCTGCTGTTAAAATTAATTGGTGTAGTAGGTCAACCCGTGATAAAATGGAAACATTATGTTTAAAAATATCCTAAGCAACTACAATTCCCTTTCTGATAAGAATCTTTTAAGCCTTTCAAGTGCCATTCCTGAGCTATGCAGTGTAATGGTCACTGAAATAACTGTTGAAACAAAACTGGAGAAGACCTTGGGTAAACCGGAGCGTATATCCCCTGATGAGGTGAACAGTCGCCCTAAACCTCAATAAACCCCTGCCGAAAGGACATACAAATAAACTACCAATGCGCGGGAAGATGCGTCACTCCATTGATACGCCCCTGATAAAAATAGTTGGCTGGCATATTGTCATCACAGTAAAATACTATCTCCACAAACTGCACAAAATGTTACGATTCCATTATACAGATTTTCATGTGTGAATCATCGTTTCACTATTTACAATAGATCGTATGATCGTCGTCATCATGGCTTCCATGCTGTTCAAACTGTYTCCCTTGCCAGTTTCTTTTAAAACACCCGCCACCGTCTACAGTTGTCTTTTGACACTGTCCCATGCTTGATCAGGAATGGTCGAATATCACTTAGACCATATTTTCTTCTAATATTCGTCTGGAAGCTTAGGTTCGTTTACAAGCTTTTTCCAAAACATTAAAGCAGCAAGTCGACCACTTTGAGGAAAAAATGTTGGAAAAACCGTGAAGGGGGTTCCAAGGTAGTTGTACCCAGGCCCTACTCCATGATATTCCTGCAGGTAGCCACAAGCATCGTGGACAGCGGTATGGTACATGATAATTTCCTGCTCCGTGTCGTCTTTCTTTCGATTGATAGTTGAGAATCGTCTTGTGCGTAAGACTTTAGAGTCAAGCTTCCCACCTAAGGATCACATTGCAATCGTTAGGGAATAGCAATCATGGGTTTAATGAGAGGATACTAATGAAATATTGCGCAAGCATAACTGAGTAATAAAAGAAGTTTGGCTAAGTTGAGGTAAGGGAGAGCGTGACGAAGAGATGCAGCCACTAATCATGATACAGGATAAAACTTTGCGCGCTGATGACTTTAGACTAGGAGTTGTTAGGGAGGACAAGCTGCAAGCTTAAGTTTGAGAATTGGAAAAGAATTGGCGGTAGCTGCTGGGGTGCTTACCACTTTAATAAATCCATCCGGTTGGAAATTCATTCGCTAATGATAAGAAAAGAGCGGAAAACTTTGACTTTCGAAAAATGGTACACGCGTCTACCGAAAGAACCGAAAAGAGCGGGAAAAGTTGATTACCTCAATCGGAAGACCGAGTTTTCCGGAACTTTCCGGTCGGAATGTTACATACCCTTTGTTTTTCAAGCGGAAYTTCCGGTTTTTCCGGGTAAATGGTAAGCACCCCTGGATTTCTAAGTACTACAGAACGCAAGGTTGCTTCTTTTAGGTATATTTTTCTAAAAGCACTAGAATTTCCCACAAACGTTGTATTGCTCATGCTCATGCAATTTCAAAAACAATACGCATTACTATATACTAAAACGTTTGAGGCAACTGATAATAAAACAAAATATTGAATTACCTTTTGGATATAATAGAGCACCAAACACGGCATCTATTCCTCCCAATGTGTCTCCAATGATCTCTCCGCATCTCAACTGCTGTCTAGAACCCCAGAACCAATCATCCCCACGTGAGAGGGAGGGTGGGGAAACATGGTTTTCCTCCAAAAAGAACTGGAGGCACTGTTGCTCACGAGACTTTCGTACGTTTTCCTCTCGTTGATTCCGAACCATGAGGAATCGTTTGTAGTCTGTGAAAAGCTTGGCCTCGTAAAAACTGGGCTTGCCATGCATCCGAATTTTGATGATACTTTTCAAGGTCTTTTCTGCTTCTATAGACAACCCTTCCCCAGTTTCGACTAAGTTATACAGCTTGTGCATCAATTGACCAAGGTTCCTGATGTCATCGTTCCTCGTGCCGGATACACTAGGTCTTCTGTCACTGAAGGAAGAGTAATACACTTCACGAAGATAGCTTTCACGTTGTTCCTTTGTTAGGAAACAGTGCATAGCTTACAAAACAGGCTAAAATGCCAGTGTYATACTGATTAAATTCGAAGCAAAATGAGAAAGGGAAGATCAATATTTTGGTATTGATCAGGAAATAAACAAGTTTCGCCAGTCTGCGGTTAGAATTTACGAAGGTAAAATTACACAACCAGAAGCCCAGTTTTAAAGCTGCGTGATGATTTTTCAAAGCTAGTTTTCCTTCTCGAATTCCATTTGCGATCCAAGGTTGGTACAAATAAACTTCCAAAATTTTTTCAGTCCATTTAAAGATATTTACAGCAATYATGCCAAAGACGTTTTCTTACATCATGGGAAACATTAGTTACATCTGTTTATTTTTTAGGCAAAATTCCACCCTTCTTCTGCAGGTGGTACCATTTCCTTGTTTCTCATTGGTTCCTCTTCATTGTCATTGGTTGAGCCATACAGCCACCCGTTTTATGTCTATCGTATATCATAATAAACGACTTCGTAAATTCTTCTCATTTCCTAATATATAGAAAGTATTTTCAATGACGAAAAAAATTCTGGAAAACCACAAAATTGTTTTTCGCTTCTGTTTTTAATACTTAAATTGATGGATTTCTACAAATTCATTTTCCAGATGCTTTAATTTATACTCTTGAAGGCCACAAAAATWATAGTGTTTACTTTAGAAAGTGTCAATTAATGCAAAATATGCCAAATTTCTACAAATAATCTATACAAGGAATAACCTGTACCGTGTTACCGTTACCGTACTTGCGATGTGCCGGTCTGGATGAATTATATGAAAACAACGGGAAGCCACTTTAGCGTTATAACATATACCTCACTGGTTACGTGCTGTAAGTCAGCACCGCGTTTGTTTCTCATTCATGCGAAAACCGCTCTGTGAGTCAAATATGTTCACTTGGTCCATTAGGGACTTTCAGTAATAACGTCTTACAACAACTAACTCAAAATGATAAGATAACATGTTTTCTTCACGCATAATTTCTAAGAGTGTGACTTTAAGGGCGCGGTTCTCCATACATGAAACTAATGGTACCGATGTTGGACCAGATGCTTTTGATGGATGTCTGTTTGCTCAGTGGCTTTTAGTTTGAGTGCAGAAGGAACTTATCTTAGAAGATAAACTGATAATTAATATCGTCTGTGTAAAGTGTCAAAGTGTAGCGACTACTGACTACTAGTAAATTTCTTATCATTCCTTTTTTGTRACATTATCTGAATTCATATGAGCAGGTTGTTCTTCTGATACCAGACTAAATAATCTATTATCTTGTAAGCCATCTTCGCGGGTGACAATAAATAAATGGAGGAAAAATGATATACATGATGTAAACAAGACTATGCTCTTAAAATGCGGGAGAGGGAAGATTACTAATTATGAGAAGAAGTTTTATTCTCCTCGGCACGTCTGAGTGCCTTACGATAAAAATGATAGCCAGGAATTTGACAGCACATGGGATTACTCGTATTGAAGATAGTCCACTTGCTGTCAATATAGTTATAGCCTGGTCCTATACCATGATAAAGATAAAGATATCCACTGGCATCGTGTACAGCCGAGTGATAGGCAATAACATCTTCTTGGGTGTATAGCAATGTATGAAGAATATCACCATTGCCTTTACCAACACGACCTCCTAAACGATAATAAAAATCAATAGTATGTTATTAGTCGTACTATGACGTAAATCTATTGGCCATGGCGAGGTGCAAAGCTTTGGGTTGGCATAGTCGCTCTATAATAGAAAATTCAGTGTTTTACGCCTATCCACAGCGATCCCGTCTAAGTGGCATCRATGATTCAATATTCAAATACAGAACAATTAATGAGATGCCCATCGCAGCGCTTTGTCTTTTATCATTTGGGATCGAGGACGACGCTGCATTTACGAAAAATTGCCACATGATATCCAATTTGTAACCATTTCCCCCAAAAGCTAACAGCTCATTAAACCTCATAGCGCCATGCAATTATATAAACTAYTGTGTCATATAATTGACCGAATTGGCAACGGGCTATAGTACAATCGATAAACCATGAAAAATATTTCCAATTTCCAGTTTTTCTGCGTACCAACCTGTAGGGTTTAAGAGTGCTCCAAACACCGGATCCAGTCCTCCTAGAGCATCTGCAACAACTTTACCACTTCTCAGCTGCTGTCTAGTACCCCAGTAATCTTCATCCTTCAACAAAGCCACTGGTCCTGATATCCATCGGAGACATGGAAGTAGGCGAGCTTGTTTTGATTCACTCGCCATTTTTGATTCAGTCATCAAATTTCGCTTTTTCCTCAGCTTTAAGAAGCAAAAGTAATCTTCTATAAAGTCTTTTTCGAATGATTTGTCCGAGTTTTCCTCTTTCCTCAGATGCATTATTTTATAAACTAAAGCTAACGCTGGTTTCTCTTTCCCCTTTCCTTTCTGGACATACTGGAGCAAACATTTCATGTAATATCCCATGGGATTCGGTTTGTCTTGTCTCGTGGTGACTTCCCCATAAAACTCCAGTCCAATCAGACGGTATAAATACTGCACTCTCTCCGAAATATCCCGGTCCATGGCACTTCCATGGCACCTTGTGATTCCGGTTGAATCGTTAGGTGCAAACTTAGAGTCCAGAAGTGAGTGCTATATCCATGTATATTTACTTAGTTAATAGTTAATAGTTAACTATGATATTTAGCACTATTGTTTTGTAAACAAAACTAAAGATGCACTTGAATTCAACATTCATTTAACCACATTTCATTACATTAAGAAAATTCCTGGAGTCTCGTTTTTTTGAAAAAGAACTAAGGAAAGGTAAGATAAGAAAGAAAGGAAAAATAGACGAAAAAAAGAGAAACTGTACTACAATCTTGGGTTTTTGTGAATGGTTTGATTAGTCTATCAAACCCAGATCAACTCGGTGTCAAAATAACGAGTTTGTAATTTAACTAATACCGGTAATACTGCCAAACTAATCTGGACTATCAGCGTGCTTTGGAATCTTGATAGTCGAAAAATACAATAGATGTTGCTAATGTTTTAAGGATTTGGAGAATAGATGATCGGTTTTCCTAATAAATCCTTGCTCTTGATTTTGAAAAATTTTTTTGTTCCCGAATGCCATGCTACAGGTACCTGCAAGAGAACAGACCATGAAACTGTCCACACGCATGGGATCTGGGATATCATATCAACTTGAAAGCGGGAGACTGTGGAAGAGTCTCAGTTTGCAAGTTTGGGTTCCCTGTGGTTTGGGTTCGTTACGCTTTTCCGCTTTTCAGGCTTTTCAAACATGGCCACAAAAGACTTGCTTACTTTGGAGAACCCAGTTTTTACATCGTACGCGTTTTATTCTTCATTTCTACTGCTTAAACTTTTCGCCGTGGTATTCTTGATCGTGTTCTATCGCATTACTAAGAAGGTAGGTATCTTATACTTCGAATTTTGGAAATCGATCAGAAGGTACACTTTTTGAAAGTATTTGTTTAACTACTTTCAACTGCGATTATAGGCGATAGTTTTCTATAATATCTCAAAAACATGTGCAAAAATCTATGGATGAAATCTTAAAAGAGAGAGAGAGAGAGAGAGAGAGAGAGAGAGAGAGACCAGATATAAAATAAAAAACCTCAAAACTCAACTATTAGAGGCTGACCACAATATAGCTGGCGTGACTGATCACGCGATTCGGCTGGCATATTACGCAACAAATGAGGTTAAAAATCAATTGAATTTAATTTACTAGTATGAAGCGATTTATATTGCCTTGGCTATTTTTATTAATTATGTGTTCTAGAAGGACAATCAGACCTGGAAAAAACGWAATGGAAGCTATTGTTTGTTTGAAATTCAATGCATTTAGGATGTAGCCTCCGTTGCAGACGTCCTGCGGGGTTCGGTTCGGATCCCTCCCCCCCGGACCGAACCCCGCAGGACATCTGCAACGGAGGCTATTTAGGATGCAAAATACCATCATAACTCTAGCCTAGCGAGCTCTCGCACATTTTTGTTTTATGAAAACATTTTTTTGATGGTGCAAACTTAGAGTCAGCCCCCGATATCGAATTATTCCATATTTCTTATCCTTCTGTGTTTCATAATGATAAATGCAAGTAGGAGACAAAAGATTTCTTATTAGCAGGGATTAGCATCAGAAGTTCATAACTATTATGAATAAGTTCATAATAGTTATGAACTTCTGTTAGCATCCATTGTTAACGGCGCCACAATGGAATTCTTGCAACCAATCAATAGTAGAGAAAGCTTGCAAGCAATACTTTGCTTGAGTAGGTTGTCCCTCCCCATACTCAGCGGACCTTAGTTCAGTTGAGTCAATATGGTTTTTGGTTTAAAAACAATTTGCCATTTAGATTTTTCCATCTGAAGAAGACTATCACGATGATCCGAAGGGCGAAAAAAAGATGATAGAGCGAAGTCATCCAGGCCTCGATAGAGTGAGAAGGTATGAGACCGTAATTGAAAAACACGAAAACACGGCACTAAACCATAGTTTGTGTATAATTCGTTACCTGAATTTTCAGTCCCCTTTTCATTATTCATTTCATGATTTTTATTTTCTTTAATATGATTTCTTTCCTGGCCTGTAATTAACAACAAAAACAAAAACAATCGATCAGATTGATAAACGTTTTTCAATATAGGGGGTTTAGTTTGTAGGTACATCATCAAGACTAATGTCAAACGTCGTACTTCACCAGACTAATGTCAAACGTTGTACTTCATCTGAGCCGAACCTAATGACATCAAATAAGACCGCCTTGTTATCCATTGTTTCAATTAGGTTCGGCTCATGTGAAGCTTAACGTTTGACCTGAACCTAAGATTTCCTATTTCGTACTTACGAAGCTTTCTCTTTACTTTTACAGGATGCACCAAAATGATCTGGAGAACATTCCAATCTTCATCTTGTTAGGGATGCTGTACGTCTTGTCAGACCCAGCCTACAGTACCGCCATTATTGTCTTTCGCATCTTCGGTGCTGCACGTTTTATTCACAGTGTCGCTTACTTCTTCGCCTTGACCAGTCCTAGAGGAATGTCCTGGATGGTAGGGATGATTTGTAACATCTTTCTTGCTGTACAAGTCCTCAGAGCCAGCAAGTTCCTCTTTTAAATGTTACAAGCAAGTGTGCTCATTAATTCTGACAGCACTTATCTTTTTTCATAAAATATTCAATGAAAATCCAACTGTTTCCTTTTTTTGCACAGCATGGATTAGACTAACCGGCTGTAGAGTATGCCGGATGGCAAAAACAAACTAGTCTAAACTGCACATAGATAGATGAGGCAGTAAGCTGTGTGGGATGGGCTGCACATAACCAAGTATTATTCATTTTCATAACGTCTTTCAAATAAACTTTCATAAGTAATGTCYTTGACATATTTTTGTTTATTTGTGAATTAAGTTGTAACTTTACTTAAATATTAATTGAGGCTTTCAAATATTTTAGTTTAAAAAACTACAACGTGGTAGACACAGGGACTTTTAAAATATCTATTTTTGGTGTTTCTGGAACACGAAGTATTCGATTATCATATTCTTGATTCTCTACAACTCGAAGAGGAGTTTCTGGCACGACACGAGAACGAAAACCTGAAAAATCAGAACYAAAACCTCCTGTACAGCTTGGTACTCTTCGCATTGGCGTTTGGGGCGTTATTATGTTCTTCTGAATTTCTCTTTGCTCTTGTTTCGTGTTATTGTCGAAAAATCCCAGCATGTTTTCATCCCCAAAATTCCGGATGACATCTGGTAAAGCCACCATGGCTGGGACTAACKGATCTCTATCCTCTTTCAAATCTATGGAACCGTTGTTAAAATGCTGATTGAGGTCATCTGGGAACTCCAGTTTTCCTGTATTTTATTTAAAGTAATGATAAGAGGRTTCATTAGGACATCGAGGAGATAAAGCTACTTCGTACCCCCCTATTCCTAATCTCTGATCAGTGTTTTGGAATCCTCWATTTTTTTCAAAGCATTGATATCCCTAAAGCAGCTTTCCACAACGAATCTCCAACAAAATTTTGCCAACCTTTTCTAGTCCCCAGGGACTTGATGAATTACATTATTAATCAAATAAAAGGCTTTCGATTTTGAGGGATACAGAAGAAAACGATTTAAAAATTCCTCACTCTCCTGGTTTCTAAACCAGCACAATTTACACGGTGTATAGCCTACGAGTAATGCTTGGGAAATAGTATCTTTGAGCGTCTTTTACAAATGCAGCACTAGCTAGTTGGGCGAGTGACCCCAAATCTTAACCCCGCCCGCCGCTGCCGAGTAGCTCCTAGGATGAAACTAGAATTTCTGATGATGCTGTAGACTACTCTCAAAAGATTCAGWTTTTTCTGCAACTTAGAGTCATGAAAAACACAAAAATTGGTTGTTTAAATATGAGTTATCTTTCGTATGTTTCTTTCATATTGGTTCCCATTCGGTACGATTATTAAAGGCATTTTGTAAGATGTAAGATAAAAAATATAAATATACTTCAATACCTGGGATGGATGAAAATAGTTTTCTTTTCTGTCTCTTTTTCAYCGTGACGGGAAAAGGGTTTTCGGAGCGATTTGTTTTTACCGAGATTTGCAGAGAACAATAGCTTTTCTGGTTGGTTAAACCTTTCTGACTATCGCTTCGGAATTTTCTTGCTGAAACGCGTTTTGAGTTTTCTATAAGCTTTTGAATACTGCAAGAATAGCATTAAATAAGTTTAAGAAGGAACAGGAAGAAAAATCCATTTGAATGAAAAATAAACTTCAGTATTAAAGCAAATCGGTCTTACCATTTTTCGGCGAGAGGCAATTTGGGAGGTCTGGAATATGGTATTCTGTTATTGTCACTAAAAATGTGTGATGAAAATGAATAAATTTATATGAATGGCAAATATTTTCCCGCTAAATAAAACAAAAATTCATACTCACCAATCCATGTAGAAAAGCATTTGTCAGTTATTTTTCTAACTTACTGATTCTTCTATCGGACACTTTATTCCGTAACTTCGCAATTGCAAATGWAGTAAGCAAAAAATCAAATAAAAAGTATGAAAACAAAGAAAACGGAGCCAGTAAGCTATAAAAGTAGTGAAAAACGATGTAGTTATGCGAAAGAAAAAAAATTATCGTCGAAGTTTAGTAGAACAAGAAAAGATGCCTTTTCCAGCCGATTTCCCGCCACAATTAAATTTTGAGGCGCGCGTGCGCTCTTCTTTTGTATGTATAGATCCTTGTACAGAGATCTTATCCCGTTTGAAAACGAAATTTTTTCACAAAAAAAAGCTGGCATAAAAAAAGCTAGCGTGTCTTYTTGATGTGTAGATATTAAAAAATRCTACTTMAAAAATATTGGCCTARKTTTAGAACAAGAAAATTAGTTTATYTATACTTTGYCCTTARTTGCCGCCACTTCCCGCCACTTGACGCGYGCGCTCTTCAACAGTTTCTAGTGTTGGGTTCCCTGTGTTAACTTTTAAAAAACAAAATGGCGGCCGTTCCTCAACAAACACATGCAAGCATACAAGCAAGTGTAACCGATAGTTCTGGAGTCCTYGTGAAGCAAACAGGTGGTTTAAAAGGAAAAGCCCTATACGCAAGCAAAACATTTTCAAAAGGGGATACAATCTTTAAAGAAAAACCCCTAGTTTGTGTGCAATTTTTATGGAATGCAGCGTACAAATACCTCTCGTGTGATAACTGCCTGAAGTCCCTAGAACCTGCCCAAGAAATGGCACGAAGGCTTTGTGGAAACWATACTCTAGTTTTGCCTCACAATGAAGAGTGTTGCGCGGTGTTGAACTCACAGAAAGATGTTGTCGTTTGTCCTCGATGTAAGGCAAGTCTATTATGCATAAAATATGTAAATGTTCTAACAGTCCACATGAAATGACGTAAGTACACAATATATAAAAATCTACCAGATGCAAGCAGAATCCCATTTGAAATGCTTTCATCAAGCAATTGATAATATCTGAAAGGATTTTATTTATTTATGATATTCAAAATTAAAKATAAATCTAGTGCATAGAGGTTCACCACAGGTAGCCCAAGCTACTGTTTAATGTTCTTTATACAAAGAAATGATGATTCAAATGATGATTCATTCATTAATTGTAAATTTGACTTAATATCTGTAAGAGATTTTTATTTATTAGCAAGAGGACTTTGAAGGGCAGGCAAAATTGCTTGTTGCATTTTTTAAAATTTTAACCCCCCCTCTCACTACAGGATAGCTAGAAATCTTWAAAATATGTACTCTAAACCATTAATAATAATCTTAATATATAACATTAACCATAATCTATGTGACAGGTCTGAATATTTCTTGGAACTATACATTTATTATTTTGTTTCCCATAAATTTAGATARCATACTGCTCTGAAGCATGTAGACAATCTGCTCTTGATCAATATCATAGCAGGCTTTGTCTTGGACATGCTGGAGAGAATCCTGACCATCCTTTAGTCAAACTACAGGAGGTGTGGAAGTAAGTAACTCATCATATTGTCTATTTTCTTGCAGTTCCACTTATTAAGAACTTATCTATAAACCCTGTTTGTATTTCTTACTGTACTTCAAAATGTGAAATCAAGATCAATTGCTTTTACTATATTTCAAAATAATAATGACTTAAACTAACTGACTAAATAATATACTTTTTTCATAGAACAATTCATTATCCCCCAGAAACAGCAAACATAATGCTTCTTGCAAGAATGATTGCAACTGTTCTTCAGGTAATTCAAGAAAGTTACCAGCACTGCCGACTGTCAAAATTGTTGTTAAACCATGGTGTGAATTACTTTCTCTTTTATGTATCCTTGTTTTATAAAGACATTTAAGTGTGAGCATGTAGAAGGAAAGTTGAARCAAGTGTGTGTTTGAGGCTGTATACAGTAGACTTCTTATTCTATCTTTCTATCTGGAAAGATATATATGTTTAGCTGAACAACCAAGTCAAATCTTTTATTTCAAATAAGTTTGGATGGTAAATTAAAATACAAATTCATATGCTTATTTATTTGTTTCTGTTCTTGTTACCTTATTTTCAGGCATCAGATAGTAAACTGGCATTGGAAACTTTTAACAATTTTTGTCATTCAGTTGTTAACACAAAAGAGCAGATTGCACACAAACTTCTTGGGCCAAAATTTCAGGTAATATTATAGAGTGAAGAAAAGAAAAAAATGGAATTAGGGTTCAATGACTTCACTCAAATTATTATCTATTAAAGTGCCTTCTGACAATATTCACAGTATTGATTCTACATGGGGTAAGATGTGGAATAACCTGAATAAACTTCATACTTTGAGTGCGGCTCCTTGAAGTTATAAAGGTTTTTCCATGCCATATGCTAATGCTGTGACGTATGAGGAGGCATTTATGGTTATTTGTTGTTCCCTGTTATTCGAAAACACTGGCTTCTATGTGAAAACTAACTTGAAATAATTTCTATAAGAGCAATGGGGAAAGCACTTGTTGTATGGGACACATCCGCACAGTCCCAACTAGTATCCACTACACTAGCGTAAGGAAGGAGGGAACAGGGAGCATGTGCCCCCCCCCCCCAAAGTTTGCTTTTGACACCAAAATTTATTAATTTATGGGGGATTCTTGTGTATTGGGTGGGAAAATGGTACATTGCCCCCCCCCCCCCCCATAATAGAGACCTCACTACCCCCCTAATGACTAAATGACACCATTGATAATTATCATTCATGGTTTTAAATAACCAGCTTATTGCCAGCACTTCTAATTTTCAATTTACTAGTAATATGTTTTGTCTTTTGACACAGCTGTCAGT